TTTTTTTAAAAATTTTTTTAAAGGTTTTATTATAGCAAAAAAAAAAAAAAAAAAAAAACATTGAAAAGGCTCCCTGTTTGTTTTGTGTTTGAACACCCAGTCTAAGTAGTTTAGATTTTTATTTAGTAATCACCACGCAAAAACCAGACTCCTTTAAAAAAACACTGTTGCATTGTAACTTTTCTGCAGTAACGCACAGCCACAAGACACGACGGCGCTGTGTAACCTGCACTTTGTTGTTGTGATCGTCTCCCCTGGTAACACCAAATACAATGGTGTTCATAACAATCTAAGTTTCTAGTTTAGCTTCATCAGACAGGATCTATCTCCAAAGTAAATGTCTTTGTCCCCCGAAAATGTAGACTGCATTTTACGTTGCTCCTGGAGTAATGAGTTACTCCAGGAGCCTCAGATATTAATCTGAGGTTGATAAACTCACTTCATCCTAAACATGTTCATCTCTGTGCTGGAACAGAATAATGACTATCCACGATAATTACACAATATACTATTGAAGGAAAAAGTCACGCTGTTATTTGCATTGACCAGGTCTGACTCTTTGATATGTATATTTTTCCACGATGCACAATGTTTTAGAAAATGTTTTCCTGTTGTGGTGCACATTTTGAAATATTTTGTTTTCCAGAAAGAAAAAAAAAAACATTCCCACAATTTATTTCCCAATTCATTTTGAATTATTCAGAAGAGGGAAAATGTGCATCTTTTAGCATTAATTAGAAGATTATAAGTCTAATGTTGTTAAAAAAAATCCTAAAATTTAAACTCTCAACACCTTGTTGGTGTTAGTAAGCGTTAAACTATCAAGTCCGCACAGATTTGGTATTTAATACTAAATTAGAGGTAAAGCACTAACTTTCCAAAAAGAAATAAATTAACACGCTGTGGGGTTAAAAATCATCTCTCTCCTGCAACTTACCTTCACAACATGCCACATTAAAAGAGGACCAGCAGGTCTACCAGGCAATTCCACATTGCCAATCTTGATTGCGACAATTAAGCTACTATGTTTCTTAGGATTTCAAGTTTTTCACCTTTTATTTCCTTGTGACCTAGAAATACCTACCTAGATCGTACCTTGAGTCTTCATCAGAGCAGCTGAGAAAACTCAGATCAATGTCTCCCCTCTGCTCACCTGTCCACCAACAGAGCGTTAACCGTTCAATTGAATAAAATCACCAGAGGATTTGCAACATCATTCAAGCTGTGCAATAAATCTCTTCCCTATCCCCACCTGTTGCCTTGCTGCGTGTTGATGCATTTGAGAATTTTAAGCTCCCCTTTATGGCAATAAATTTTTTCTTTTTCATCAGACTCTCTTTTTTTCTACTATTAAAGGACTTTACTAGTAGAGATTCTGAAGGCGATAAACTTTTCAAAGTTGGGATGTCAGCAGGAAACAACTCTCCAGGTGCAAATGAAGCTATTTAGATCAGAAAGACATTATTATAAAATCTTGTGACCTGACTCCTTTAACTGATCTGCAGGTGTTGGCATTTTTTTTTCTCAAGTTTTAATTCACTCATCACAACACTACAAGGACAAACTCCAGCCCACGGCTGCATAAACGTGCGACAGGTAGCCAGACGACACACGAATCTCGCTACATTTTACCAGATTTTGTCATGTTTCATTTAGTATCTCTCAGGACCAAATACAGATGACAGCAGCTGTAAACAACCGGCTCTCCTCTCTCCACACCAGCTCTCTGTCTTCCTCTCTCGCCCTCAGGCTATGAAGTGGAGAGGGTATAATTTATCATGAACATGACAAATTACTTTTGGTGGTACTGAGGAGTGGATTGGTCAGCCGTATATGGGTATGCGTGTGTGCGTGTGTGTGTGTGCGTGCGTGTGCGTGTATCCAGAAGTGTGAAAAGAGAGGCAAAACTGAGAGACGGAGTGTGAAGTGGTGGCAGGGCCAATGAAATGATGTGCAGAATCTTGGCTCAGCCAGCTGGAAGGTGGGAATAGATTACAAATCGCTTTGTTTTTCATCTCTGGGCAAATGCTGCTTTCACATATCACAACCAGCAGTTGCATTTGCTGTCTGTCATTTGCATTCTGCGTGTCGTGAGCTCTTGTATGGGAGGATGAAGTATGGAAAGCCTTGTCTCTCTTGAGTCCAACTCCTAGTGGGTGATGGACCGGCACATTGTCAGAACTCCCTGGTTTTAAATAGCCTTTAACAAGGCTGGTTTCAGAAAATGCAATTGGCCAATATGATCCTGTCAACCAGTGGTGTCCAAAGTGTGGCACCTGAGCTATTTCACAGCCCTCTAAACCTCAAAGTGTATATTCTTGGAAAACTAGATGGAGTCAGTACAGAATAGTTCCTTTTTCAAATTAATTTTGAGAGTAATTCATCATCAGTGGCTGTATATGTCATAATTGAGGGTAGACTTCTGACCCACATGCAGAATCAGACCCGGAAACAACTGGTGAGTTATTATTTTTATTTTAAAAAAAAGAAACAACCTGAAGGTTCTGCAGGTGATCCGAGGATATAGGTCCGAGTCACGCCTGGAAGCGGAGAGAACAGGTTAATGGTCTGGCCAGAGGAGGGCAAAGTGCGATGAGGAACCGAGTTTCAGCTTACGTCTTCTTGGAAGGCTTCTGACGGGGGAGGATGCGATCGAGCAGTGGACTGGAGCGGGCAGGCAGGTGAGGCTCTGAAAGCTGCAGGTAGATTCACCGGTGGAAGTTGGCCAGATCCTGAAAGTGAATGAACAGAGGGCTAGTGAGGGGGGTTGACTACAGGCAGAAATCCTTTCGAGAGAATCACAAAAAACTAGCGTTTCAGAAGAAGGCTTTAACGAGCTAGAGACTACCGTGGAGGGATAATCATCCGGCGGAGAGGAGAGGTCCGATGGCTCCTTAAATCCTCTCGACTGATGATCCAACTAGCTTCAGGCGTGCAGCTCCACTCCAGGCCACTCCCCAACGGGAAGCCGAAGAGGAGAGACCTTTCTTAAAGAAAAGCCCAGAACCTGACAGTATATAGCATTAATATAAAATTAAGTGCATAGCAAGACTGTCTGGTTCACTTGGGGAGGTGTGAATGCGTAACCAAACTCTGATTTGGACCAAAAAAGCAAAGTCTGGTCCCCATAAAAACCCAAGTCTCTGTTTTGCTGAAGATTCAAATGCATATGTGAACGCCAAGCGGACGAGAGACTGCTCCAAAAGCAGGAAGACTACAGCAGAGCAGGGCATTCTGGGTAAATACAACCAAAACAATCGTACAAGTCTAACGTTGGTCTCATAGGAATACAACAGCTAAAATCTGACGCCACTCCCATTATATTTTGTGTGAATTAGGCGGTCGTATTCATGTCTTCTTTATAGGTTTTTGTGTGGTTTGTTTCTGTGGTTGTTGGTGCTGCCACATGTGAAGGGGTGAATGAGTTTTTCAATGGGTTTGGATTATCTGACACGGTGCAGGGTGAAAACCAACCACACCAGCCGAAAATTGAATAAATGTTGAAATGTTGTTCCCAAATTGAAGCGAGTCTACCAGACTATCAGGTGTGAAAACACCCTGAGGTTCTTTGAAACTAACTTAGTGGTAAACTGAGGTGCATTGTCCATTGTAACACCCAAGCTTTGACTTCCTGGTTCATGTCTTGAGATTTGCTTCAGTGTTTTCAGTGTTTCATAAACATCAACACACTGAAATACTCCTACTATCGTACCTCACATCAAAAGTGAAAACTTTGGGCAAACAGTTTGGTTACAGCTTCCTCAGACAACAGCATATGACTCCAAAGATATTTTATACCTGAGGGCATTTGGAAACACTACTCTTATTTTCTCTGTTTCTTTTTGAATTATGGTTTCTTCCTCTCTGACTGGGCTTTAACACCGTCTTACTGTGGATGATGGGTTTCTAATCAGCTTCAGCTGATCTTCATCAGGGTTTTTTTTTTTTGTACTTTTATTCATTTCTGTCTTGGTTCATTTTGTGTTTTCCTTTTTTTTATCTGTTTGTTTTTAAGGTTCTTTGTGCGTTTCTGGTCCGCACACTTTCCGATGCATTTTTGATCAGCATCGATTCAGCTCCGGCACCACAGCTGCTCGCCCTCTTCCACTGACGTCTCATTACAGACGCAGACAAATTCACGCACTCAGGTCTTAATAAATCTAATTGCACACTCAACTCATAACGCCCCTGAATCAGGGCCGACAAATTACTGCAGCAGTCTGACACCGTCAATGAGCATGGGTGCCACTCTGGCTGACTGGATCCTTTAGTGAAAGGAAAAGATATAAATTAATATTGTGCAACACTTTCTTTGATTCAGCTGATTTCACCCCCCAGTTTTTCAGTCTTTGTTTCTTCCTCTCAGCCTCTTCCGTTTCAACCCACACCTCTGATCCGACTATGTTTCAGCTGTTGATTCCGCATCAATCACCGCAAAATCTAATTTGTCAAACCTCCGTCGAGCAGGGCTCTCAACCTCCATGCCTGCTGTCTTTTTCTTTTCTTTTTTTTTTTTTGTTTTTTTGTCTGGAGCCCCGTAAGGTAAAGAGGGAGTTCTGCCGGTAATATAAGGGGAGAAGAAAAAAAAAAAAACAGGACAAAAAAACAGACTTTTGCACTTTGAAGTCATAGCAGATCAAAAAAACAACAGAGGCCTCTTTCTGGTACAAAGAGAATGCTCTCCCCTTCATCCATCTTGGCTCGTTTCTGCACCTTTTCTTTGCAGCCTGCCTGTCACTCTGAGCCGTCACATCTCACAAACAGGCCCCCAGCCTGCCCCACCTGCCCGCCTGCAGCGTCTGCCTCTCTGCCGTCAGGAACAGATCTCACCCTCTGTGCGAGTGTGCGCCTGCTTAGACGTCCCTGGAGGTCTTGTGCCACTTGGAGCGATTTGTGCACTCCGGTTATTAACGCACAGCTCATAAAAAAACAAGCGGCATATTCTACCTGTCTGTCCTCCTATCTGGGTCGCGTGCTTTTAGCACAGCTGCAGCTAACGGGAAGGTTATAGTCCCGTTATTGCAGACTCAGACTCTCGTCTTTCTAGGTTGAAGCCTTGCGCTGTAAAGTTTGCAGAGGTTTGAGCATTGTGCCCCATCAGTGCAGCCGTTCAGCAGACCATCTTTGTGACAGTCTCCTGCGCTCCTGACATGGGAGTCATCTGTCTTCACCGTGTCCAGAGCAATGATGTGGGATAATATTGGTGGGAAGTGGTGCAGACAGGGGGGTATTGGAATATCGATCCTCCTCTCTTCCTCCGTCTTCCTGCAAGGATTTTTATTCCAGGCTGTGTGATAAAACGACCGAAGGGCTTTGAGCCCTTATATTGTTTCCTATACCCTTTGAGCTCGTGTGAGAGTGCAATTTATCTGAAGGAAGGCTTTGCGATGCCGGGTTGGACTGAATGCACCTCTGAACTCATCTATGCACAGATTTCATTTTCACAGAAAACCTGTAAAAGAAATCTCTCTGAATATGAAATTTGTAAGAAAAAAAATTTAGACTATCGATTATTTTTCCGTAAGTTTTGGTTGGTGAAGACCCAACAGGAGACATCGATTATTGTGCTGTAGGGTAATTTGTTAAAAATAAAAAAAGGAAACCATACCTAAAAGCCGACAAGGAGAGAATTTTTTTGTTAGAAATCAGCAGGAAAAATAATAATCCAACACAAAGAATCAAACAGCTCAATAAAAATGACTTGCCATATAAATACAGAGGGGGTTAACTGCAAAATAAAGTTAAATAAAAAGGTATGTTCAATTAACCGACTGTGTTGTAGCTGTCTGGAGGAGTTGAGTGAAAATGGTTAAATGACACCGAATGAACAGAGAGAAACAAAGCATCCAGAGAAAAACTAGAAACACCAAAAAAACTAGAGGACTTTTAAAGCACGCTTAGATTAAAAATAAAAAATAAAAAATTAAGAATTCTGAAATAAATGTAAAAATGAAATGTACCAGTTTACTTGGTTGCAAAGCAGACTTGAACCAGAAGGCCTGAGTGGTTGGAAGGTTGATATATCAACAGCAACAACAAGTCTTTAATGCATTTACTCCAGTTTGTAAGCTAGTAGCATTCCTCCAGTTTATTCTACATTAGTAAAGTACAAAGCTAAATATTGGTTCTCCATTTTTGATTCTTGTTCAGGGTCGCTAAGTACTTCACAAATTTATAAACTTATAGGAGTTTCTCTATAGGTCCTACAGATGTTCTTCAGGTGATAATACAATTTGCAATTTATCGTCAGCTGCCAACCTTTCGTAGCATGTTCATCTCAAAGTAAGAAAATACTCAGCAGAACCACTGAAGGCCCAGAAACTCTGGCCTCAAATAGCATGTTAGAAGTTAAAGTTCAGTAAAGTTTGATTAGGAAACTACAGCAAGCCTGGCTAGCTTGGTGAGGTTGCCTGCAGTCTCGCAACAAAGAGACCCGACTTGATCTTCCAAGTTTGAACGATTTGCACCCGATACATTAGACCAGAGAAGCAATGTTTAGAGAAACCACTCGTGTCCAGGTTGGTGGTGGAGAATCACACAGTGGTTTACGAACTCCTTTACAGTCCCATACAATAACGTCAGAAGGAATACGTCTGTCAGCTGAGGCTTGGTTGAATCGGTCCATGAAACACAACAATAATCCCGAGCACAGCAGCAAATCTTCAACGCGGCTGCTAAAAAATGAAAGACTCGCTGTGTTGCTGTGGTGAGACCTTAAGAGAGCTGAGCAGAAACAAATACCACCAGAACCTCGACAGAGTGAAGCAAGCTTTGCGAGGAAGAGTGGGCCAAAATTCCCACACTGCCATGAGAGAGAGAGACTGTTAGAGCCAGACAGAAAACGGCTATCGAGGGTGTTCGCTGCTAAAGGCTGTTCTTCCAGCGATTGAGTCATCTCCATCTTGGCTTCATCTTTGTTTAATAAATAATGACATGCTGGGTTTTTTTTTTTTGTTTTTTTTTTTGCCAAAGACCAGATCGTTTTGTTATGTCCTGATATTTAAAGCCTTACAGTGGACATTGGGTGTTTTGTGCCATAATTGTATTAAAACAGATTCATATCGTTCACCAGAGTTTGTCCTTATTGTTGATTACACTTTAAAACAGCTTGCTTTTAGCACTGCAGCTGATGAGTTCTGCCCTTGACACCAAACGCAGCACAAACAGTCTGTATTTTTCTCTCCTAACTGTCTGTTTGTTTCCACTTTACACCTTTTGATTTTGGTCTTGCATCAGCTGAGCTTGGAAAGGTTTATTTTAAAGCACCACTGTGGCAAGAACAGGTGAAAACGTCTTCAACCTCAGCTCCTGGAAATGAGACTTTTCTTCAAGTTTTACCATTCGTTGATCATAGGGTTGCACTCAAAATGGATAGTTGAAATTAAAACATATAATAAATTATCAAACTTCTGTCAAATTTCTAACAAGGCCAATTCTGGACCGATTAATTATCTCGTGCTAAGTCAACTGAAAATACAGATTTTTAGATTATCTTAATTAAAAATGAAATTAAAACAAGTTAAGAACATCTCTTTCCTCTCTTTTTGTTATTTTTGTCTTAACGTGTTTCCATAATCAGTGCCAAGAAAAACTTAAAAAGCCCGTCTTAAAACTTTCTTCGAAATGTGCTGTCGTTACACTTTATTTTCTGAGAAATCATCTTTGGAGTTGTTTATGTTTCATGCCATTTGTTTTGCAAACATTTTTTTTTTGGCATTCGTGACGGCCTTGTCTCCTTGCGACTGCTCGAAGCCGCCCTCATGGAAAGAGACGTCTGCAAAACAAAAACACGGGCCTCACTGGGAAAATTTAGCACGCGATAAGTGAGAAGTGATGATAAGACCTGGTGTGAAAAGCACAACGCCTGCACAACTGCACACAGATAAGGACAGACGCACACTCAGACAAACACAGGCACGTATATATATAATTCACAAGTTCCTTTATGGCCGCCTTAAAACAAACAAACAAAAAAAAAAATAAGATGAGACAGGAAAGCTCTGTGAT